TTGCACTTACGGTGGTGCTATGTGCTTCCGGTAGCGCGTTAGGGGGCTAGACCACCGTGGTGGTCTATCAGATGATGGTGGCTTCGTTCGCGGTCGTGTGGAGCCGACTCCCCCTGTTTAGTTGTGCGCCCCGTGGGTGCTGCCGGGCTCGTCAGCGCGTCCCTACGGGCGCGGGTGTACATAGCCGGGATTCTAGATTACCGACTACTGAGATAAAGTGAGCACATCGAAGTACAAGGTGAAGGTCGACAAATACTAGGCTACAGTACGCTACTCTACCACTACCCTACTACTATCATGCTGGTACTGTACCTACCCTAGTTAGGCTCTCCTTCCCGTTCCCCTCCTTTATAATCAGCTACTATATGCTGACTGCGCTACCGTAAGGTAGCACACTGAGCTTCCCCTCTCTCAGTATAGTCACTGAGATAGAGAGAGAGAGAGAGAGAGAGAGAGAGAGAAAGACAGCAAGGTCAGTCTATATTCGTTGCAACCACACTACAGTCAAGGCAGCGGTCGTCGCAGGCCCAACCAGGCCATAAAAGGCGAAATCTGCGAGGTCACTTTACGCGTACGTTAACGCCCCCTAGACCCCCCGGAGGCGTGTGGAAGGCGCTTGCGATGGTTGGTATACTCCAGTCGTCGTCGCCGGCCACGGCCGCGCCGTGGCTGCACATAAGCTAGGTTGGCAGTCTAACTACATAAACCCCCGGGCTTACTGGGGGATACGGGCAGCTTCTAGTTCCAGCACCGGCCTCTGGGGCGCCCCGAGTTTCTAGCCACGATGCCAGGCACAGTCACCGCGGCTGGCCTGTCCGAAAGCCTGGAGCGACCTCGGGGTGCGCGGGGGTCGACACAAGAGGGCTACAATGGGGCCACAGTGGGCACACGATAGACGGCCGGCAGTGCCGGCGGAGCCGGCGGGGTTCCAGTTCCGGGCGGTTTTCGGGTCTTTCCAGTGCTGTCAGTTGATGCCGAATCTGCTCGTAACAAGCACAACCCAACTTCTCTTCTTTGCACATGGGTACGGCTTTTGTGAAGTCAAGGGCTCAGGTGGACGGAAGTGGGCTTCGGAACTTAGCGCGCCCGTTCTCAGGCAATGTCCAGGCGCCGGATTTGCTCTCGGGGTGGAGGAGGCGGGGCGAATCGTACAAGGGTAAGTCGCACATGTGGGCAGTCAGTCAAATAGTGTGCTTGGGGCTATAGGCACGATAAGCGACGTATTAGGATGGATGGTGAAGCTTCGGATCCAGGTGCCGAAGAAGTTTGAGAGTGCGCCATTGCCCTGGTGGCGATGTTACCGGGAATGCTTAGAATGATTAGGCTTAGTGCTCAGTATGCTATTCGGAAGGTCAAGCGAGATGGGGGTGGCTGTACTGGAGGCTTTGGAGGGGGTTTGCACCATCGAGATGTAGACGGATGCTTATACTTCAGTCTGGCGAGTACGGCACCTCTGGAGGAGGTGCGCTTAGATGCCATGATTGATGGCGCACTTGCACTGACAGTTGAGGCTCGCTCCTGAGATAACGTGCCTCTGAGGTTGACCGCATCCGCCACGACGGTGCGCCGCGCACCGACAGCAGTGATTTTGGTAGGCTCATGCTGTTCATTGAAGCGCGGGATCTTAGTCACGCTCGGAGAACTTACAGGAACGAGGGATTTACAGAGAGAGCCACTGGCGCGCAAATTCACAGGCACCTGTCCAGACCGAGAGTGATGCATGTTAATGGAAAACTTCTTCACTTCACAAGGGCGCGAACACTCCTTGGATCGGAACAGAGGTGCTGTAATGCGTGCAAACAGACCCATTTTCCAAGCACACCTTGCGAAGTGTCCCGAATCGATGGTCAAGGACTGGCTTGCGTCACTGCTGACCAAGTAATCGTGCTCCACGTCAGTCTCTGGGTTAGGTTGCGTTTCCTCGAACAGCCTGGTGGCTTCCTCGGAGGAAACTGGATCTGCATCTAGGGATGCAAGAAGCTTAGAAAAGTCAGACCAGGAGTGCAAGTCGTGCCTCATAGCAAAGGATTTGAAACTAGCACGCAGGCGGCCCTGGATTTCTTTTGCACGTTCGAATATAAAGTTAAGGGTGAGGTCCAGAACGTCATCAATTGCAATACCGCGATCCGTGACAATACCAGTAGAGTCGCGGCGTGATATCTGTGGGAGGGCTCGGGCCTTTTTCAGAAGTTGTTTCAATTGTGTCTCTGATGAAATCTGCAGCAAGTATGGTGCATCCCAGGACACCGGCTCATCAATGTTGACGTTTAAGCCCGACCCAACAAGTGCGCATACGACACGTGATAGAGGAACGACGTCTGCTTGTCTCTGAACCACATGAATCTCGGGAGATAATTTATGTTGCCTCGAACCGAATGTCATGTCAACTGGACCACCCGAAAAGAGCCGGTGGAGCAGCAGCATAAATTGACTCTGGACCAGAGGGGAATAAAATGGCGCACGTGCTGGAGTTATGCCAAGAAGATCAGCAAATTGGCGCAACCGACGCATCGGAACAGGGTTGCACACTTCAGTGGCTTGCCTGGCATTGGATTCTGCACTCTTAATTACGCAGCGAGCCTTCAAAAAAACCATAAGCCTTGCGTAAAGCTGCATCTCATGGCGTTTAGCAAGAGCCCGTCGTCCAAAGTTCATTAGATGCCAGCTGGAAACGAAGCTTGGTAGACATTGGGGGGCGTTCCCATTCATGACCATGGTGGCGTCTGCCGCGGCTTTATCAGCAAAAATCTTGTCTATGCGGCAAAGAGAGGCTTCAAGGGACAGTTCAGTGATGTTTAAAAATGCCACACCTGAATCCCTGCCTCCGATGAGATGCAGAAGTGGGGAAAGCCCGATTAGGCTAGAGTCCAATACAGCCCGTGGTCCAGTGGGCGAGGAGATATGTGAGGTGGAACCGAAAATTTGCACCTCATGCTTTGAGGCGCGATGTGCCACCGACGGAGCCAAACCTTCCACATGGAGAGTCTTCTCTGCCTCGAGAATGTTCTTTGGCGTGTGCTCTAACTGCCCGGTCCATGCACATCGCGGACAAAGAAAGTCCTTACGATCTGCAAGATAATTTTCAGAACTCTGATCTAGAATTGCGCATGGTGCTTGCACAATCGGGCGTAGATTTGAAAGACCACTGACGAGAGATTCGCTGGCCGTACTAGTACAGGTACCTGGAGAATGAGGACCCGCTAGGTCAGAATCACTTACGGAATCAAGAGAAACCACAACATCCTCATCCGGGATGAGGTCATCTTGTGCGACGAATCCTTCGCCTGGTGGACGAACGGAGACCAAGCTTGTCCTGCCTCCAGGGTCACCTGAACTGGAAAAGAATGATTCACCTTTCGTTATCTTGCAGTCTGACGCCGACCGCGCAACATGCTGTGACTTGCCAGCCTCTGCCGCCGCTGACATTCTCGGACTACATGCGATATCACTGCGTTGCTGCCCCGCTTGGTTGCCCGCTTTGACTTCCACACACTGGAAGTCCGTTTCACAGCAGTCGATTGAAGGAAAGGTAGCAGTGCGCGAATAGTCCTGCAATCTTTTGGCGATGTCTCTTCCCAAAGTCGGGGTGTCATGTTCGACGAACACTTCACTCTCTACATTGATATAGTCACGTGGCGTTTCACACAATTCAGTTGCAATAAGTGCTTTTCGTTCATCAGGAATCTTCTGAATTTGACTTCGAGTGCTAGAAACTTTGCTATTAGGGCTCACAAACATTGAGAGATCGGTCTGTATGGCAACACTAAGATACTTCAATCGCAACTGGTTCTGAAGGTACGTCCTCGCGACCGCTTGAATAGAAATTGCAGCTTGTCGGCGGATCGGGGCCAGTATGAGCCTGTGTTCTGCGTCCTCAGTTGCTTGAAGCAGCGAAAGTGTGTCGTGCACTCGCACAATCCGAGTACCCAAGCTCTTGGTCAAATTTGATTGTGTTGTGTCTGTCAGTTCAAGATCTTGATTGTGGGAGATTTGTGCTTCTGTAAGTGGCCTCCGATGAGCTAGATCTGGCTGTGATTCATTTCTTTTTTCATCAGGCGATTCGATCAGAATGCGTCCAAAACGGCGAAGAAATGAGGAATCCGCCATGCGACGAAATTCGGAGATGAGTTGCTCTTCATCCTTGTCCACAAGCTCGCATATTAACCGTGGCCCAAACTCTGGGGCTGCGTCGTTGAGTTGTCTGAACAAGTCACTACGACCAATATTCATGAGGGAGTCGTCTGAATTCTGCGTATGGCCGGTGTGTGAGTTTCGTTTTGCGGAGCTAAGACAAGGCATGCCCTCTGCCAGTTTGGTGTCTGGGAGGAATAGCCCAATTACAACACCCACGATAATTGTAGAGTCTTCTTTGAGCAAGGAAATAAGGTGCTGTGTACGTTCAGCACGTTTGTCGTTCTTATCCGTCGAATCTGGTTCAGAGACTGCATCTGCTAAAGACCCAGAAAAACCAAAACTGTTGAGTGAATCTGCGTCAAGAGTTTGGAGAAAATTCCCGAACAAGTCTTGGTTACTATTCATGATTTTTTTAAGGAACAACGTACCATAACTGGCCAACTTGGCACCCTCCTGGTGCACCTGCCTCTTCACTCGGACCTTGCCCAGGGAATGAGTCACACTTGCGAGCGGCTGCTTATTCTCATCACACCTAGAAAAAGTGACCAATGATGTGAGTTCAATATATAAGTATCACATGAGATCAATTTTGGAGGCCAGGTGAATCTGAGCCTCCGTCCCCAGGAAATTAGAAAACAGAGGCGAAGTTATTATGGAATACGCAATGTCTTCGATTCCGGGTCGTACCTACGATCTTGTGTGGAAGGCATGACGCGAATCTGTCTCAGGTCCGAGCTGCTGCTATGCCAGAGAGCAGTGCTTGTCGTGTGGAACGAGGAAGTGCGTGTATCTGATCCATTGTTATGAGCCAAGATGCCCGGAGGGGACGACCCGTGGGAGGCAGTCCGAGTTTTTTTGAGCATGGGAAAGTCATTTCTGGATTCGGCTCAAGTCGAGGCGACATCAGAGAGGGCGCGAACGAGCTACGGATATGCCAGGGCCCAGGGGCGTCTATCACCGCATCTGAATTACGTGGCATCCTTTGTTGACGGAAGATCTCGAAGTAGGGCACCTGGAGGTAGGCATGTGGAACACCGCTGTAGTGATCGCTCGTTTTGTCTATGGTCTCAATTCCTGATGTGCCAGTTGAAAAAACGGCCACAGTAATAGTATCACGCACAAGCGCGATGAGACGGGCAAGCGGGAACGTCGTTTCATCGAGGCCAGCTACCTGGTCCAGGATAACCATGGCAACAATAGTAGACAATTTCGATGGCTTCCATCTTCCTCCATGGAACCTGCTCTCCACCGATGGGATTGCCTGGAGACGACAGCCTCAAGGTATAGCATCACAGGAGTCAGGACACACAGATAGTACACTCTCCTCAATCAAAGACTGTACGAGCGTGTCTGAACGTCCCAAGTTTAGGTGCGCAATCAACGTGTCAAGGACAGCGGCTAAGATTCTTCTTGGTGCATCGTCTGAATGATGCGGTTTTGGACGCAGAGGCGACTCGCAGCCGGTCAATTCTGCGAATGGCAAAAAGCTTTTTAGTACAAACCTGCGTCGGCACCGGGGTACCACCCCAGCATATGCAACCGGGGCTCTGGATTCGACCGGATCTTTGACGAGAGTTGCATATTAGCTCTGGGGAGAGGGGAGGTATGGACCTGGTCGGCGGTCCTCTCTTCAAGGTGCACCCTGTCGATCCACGCTGTGACCACGGCCTTGCGGTGTTCCTGTGAAGCCGATGCATGATGGTTTCACGAAAGAAGCTTGGCTGCACTGAGTCGGACTGTTGGTGAGGCCGCCTTGAACGGACCGGGTCGTTTCATTTGTTTTGGTGGCATTGGTTTTGTTGGTTTTGTTAATGTGGAAGTGCCGACCCTCTATACCAGCGAGCCGCTAGGAAGGTGGAAATCTTTCTATCTCCCTACCCCGGGGCCCGACGACTTACCCTACGACTTACAATCGGCGCCAGCGACTTTAAAACGGGTTACTTTTTTCGTTACGTCCGACCCCGCGGCTACGGCACGGACTGGGTCGCGTTCGCTAAGCAGTAATAAAAACTATTAGCAGCCCGCGGGTTTTGGCGAGTGCCCAGTCACCCGTCCGTTTTGGCGAGCCCAGCGACTTACCCCGGGGCCCGACGACTTACCCTACGACTTACAATCGGCGCCAGCGACTTAAAAACGGGTTACTTTTTTCGTTACGTCGGACCCCGATCTCTGTTGAACTTCAGCACTTTTGTTGAAGTCAAATCTGGCGATTTCCCGACCCGAACCAGCGACTGCGCGCTAAAGCCATCGCAAACGTGCAATTAACGCGCGAATATCGTCAAACTTGCTTTGATACGACCATAGCCCAATTTTGGCCGTGATTTCACCCGCAGACCGCCGCCGGCGCGACACCGCGCCCGCGCGCGCGGTCGACGTACAGCCTCTATGGACGACTAATGACTCTGGCTCCGCCGGCCGGAGTTCGATGGTTGATGTTTATTAATTAATTTCCTTTGGGCCGGCCTAGATGTACGTTGATCACTCCACTGGACGGTCCTCACACTGGCCCCCGGGAGAGGCGGTATTTCCCTGCCACGGGACGGTCCGTCCCCACGCTGGGGACGGACACTTCAAGAAAAAGTACAAGGCCAAAACTTAAAACGAGTGGCTGCGAAGGTGGCGACGGACCGGGGACGGACCGGAGACGGACACTAGCCAGCGCACAATCCCAGTAAGGCCTCAGGCTCGGGCAGGGCGGGGCTCTCTTCGCGGTGCCGCACTGCATGCTGTTGGATTGTCGGGCTCCGCCCCCTTCGCGCGCCCATTTTTTTTCTTTTTTCCCTTCTTTTCTTTACTTCGCCGGTACGGCACGGAAAAATTGCCCCCCCGAGATACTGGCCCCACTCAGAGATCGGCTGGGGAGCTGTTGCGGTCCTAGTAGCTGTTTGGGACGCGTCTCCAATCGAAAAGCAAAACTATGGAGGACAGCACGTTTTTATTTACATCCGAGTCTGTCAGTGAGGGACACCCAGGTATCTTCTTGGTCTCGAATTTCCAAAATTCATGCTCTTGTCAGATAAAATATGTGACCAAGTTAGCGATGCGGTTTTGGATGCCTGCGTCAAAGACGACGAAACTTCGAGAGTCGCTTGTGAGTGCTGCACTAAAACTGGCATGATAATGATATTTGGAGAGATCACTACATCTGCGACAGTGAACTACGAGGCCGTTATTCGTGAGACGCTCAGAGAGATCGGCTATGATGACCCTGCCAAGGGCATGGACTATAAAACTGTAAATGTTATCGTTGCTATTGAAGAGCAGAGCCCAGACATAGCCCAGAGTGTTGACGCCACCAAGATCGAAGAAATCGGCGCAGGCGACCAAGGTATTATGTTTGGTTACGCAACTGACGAAACAGAAGTCAAGTTCATGCCTTTGACACATGTCCTTGCAACCCAGCTTGGCATGCGTCTCACTGAGGTTCGTAAGACGAAGCTCTTGGACTGGGTTCGACCAGATGGCAAAACTCAAGTTACATGCGAATACAAGATGAAAGCTGGTCGTCCACTACCACAGCGAGTCCATACAATAGTAATTTCAACACAACATACTGAAGCTGTTAGCCAGGAGCAAATTCGAGAGAGTCTCATGGAGCAAGTTGTGCGCGCTGTTGTTCCCGGAAAATATCTCGATGATGATACCATATACCACATGAATCCTTCGGGGCGTTTTATCATTGGTGGTCCTCATGGAGACGCGGGTCTTACTGGTCGCAAGATTGTAGTCGACACTTACGGGGGCTGGGGTACACATGGTGGTGGTGCGCTATCCGGCAAGGATACAACAAAGGTTGACCGCTCGGCGGCATATGCGGCAAGATGGGTTGCAAAGTCACTTGTAAATGCTAGGCTTTGCCATCGCGTTTTAGTTCAGCTGGCGTATGCAATAGGGGTTGCCTATCCAATATCTATCCACGTAGATTCGTACGGTACTGGACCTTCTTTGAGTGGTAAAACCGATGTTGAATTAGTCGAAATTATTAAAGCCAACTTTGATCTTCGCCCTGGCTGCATTGTGCGTGATTTGCAACTTCGGCGACCAGTGATGCAGAAGACTGCAGCTTATGGCCACTTTGGCCGTGATGATGATTCTTTTACCTGGGAAACCCCCAAGGAGCTGTCGTTGTAATTTGAGCCCGACGGGGCTCGCACCACGGCCTCGGCAGGCGGGTTCAACCGCACGTCCGGCACCAGCGTCCGGCATTCTAGTCTGCCTCTAGTCGCCCCCCTAATCGCACCAGTCGCCGCCTGGCAGCTTGAGGTCGCTCCAGGAAGACGAACACCGCAGCGGAACACCGCCACCGCGGTAGCGGTCACAGGCCAGCAGAAGCTCAGGGGGAGCACGAGTATGTTCTGTGACATACCACGTACGTTGGAGCTCTTACGCACACCCTAAGGGCCTCCGTAGGGTATAGGTAATCCCGGTAATGCAGTGCTAGAGAGTTTTCTCTAGGCTGAACTTGATAAACGGCGACTACTCGACCACACTCGAGGTTTACTCGAGGGACTCAGCTGCTAAAATGCGCGAGTCGAGTGGCTGAGCCAAGGAGCCAGATCTGTAACTCTCGCTGGAGTTATACGATCTGTGTGTTAGAATCCGAGTATGCTAGTATGAAGCACCAGCATAGTATAGCATGAGCATAGCCAGTCTAAGGCAGACTGAGCATCTCAAAGTCTCCAGTGTCTACTGCGGTGCATGGGGACACCTCTCCGGTGTATGCGAGGCAGCATGGCGAAATCATGAAAATAACAAGGCAAGAATCAGTTCATACCATGAAGTTAGCCATGAATCAGATACTACACCTGGACTGACCTACTGGCGTTAGCGCCAGGGAGGGAGGATCTCAGTACTTTGGGATAGGAAAGGGAAAAGGAGGAGAGCCTCGTCAGTGGGAAAGGCCAGCCAGGGACCCTATGGGCCAGTAGGCTCAGTAAGGGGCCGGTTCGGAACTTTGCGTCCGGAAGTCCGGCGTCGGCGTCCGGCCGCGTCCGGACTAGGAGTGACTGCCCATGTAGAACCTAGCCTAGGCTAATTTGTGCGACTTTTCATTTATTTGAGGGTATGGTAGTTCCTGTGCGCGTGCACTGCTGCGCCGCGGCCTATTGAGCCGGCGCAATTGTTGTTCGTGTTACAACGCTCCTGCCTGCCGCTTAAAGACAAGGAGCAACGTCATGGAAATCCAGATATGTATCCTTCGTCGCTCGCTGTAACTATCCTAAGACCATACTAGAAATACAAGCCCACTGCACTGCCAACTTCAAGCTAAGCCAGCCAAGTTACCTTAGTCCAATCTCCCACACTACATGTTCATGCTTGCAAGGGTTTTCTAAAACACGACTTTATTTTCAGGATCGACGAGCTACGCGACGTGGTGTCAATCGGCGCGCGCCGCCAGACCCCGCCGAGCGGTGCGCGAGCTGCGCAAAGACTCCGAGCATGGTCGCGACGCGCGGGCGCGGCCCAGAACGACCTTACGTCCCCGGATCGACCCCTGCGCTCGGCGGAGCGGTGCCGCTAGCTCGTCGATCCTGAAATAAAGTCGTATTTTACAAAACCCTACTAAGCATTAATGTACTACTCAAGTAGGATCATCATAGCTATTAACCTAGTCAATTGGCACTCGTCTCCGCGCCGGAATGGTCGGTTATTCGCCCCCTTAGCTCGACCCTAATCAGGCTGTCACGCCAATCTCTATTTTGGCCGAGGATAGTACATGTCTGTCCTAGATTTGACAAGAGCTGGAATTAATTTTCTTGCTATCGATTTCGATTTGACTCTAGTAGACACGCATACGGAAGGCCGCTGGCCTGGATCTCCCTCGGAACTAGCTGCACGAGTGCGCCCAAATTTGAGGCATTTAATGAATGAGGCTATGGACGCAGGAATACACGTTGCAATTGTGACGTTATCACCCCAGGTTGACATCAGATACCGACTTCTGCAGCTATGTGAAATCGATTTTTTTGCAGGTGCCATTGATATCAGCAGTGCTTCAATTGATATTTCCTGCCAGCTGCGATATGGTATTCAAATATTTTTTTCAGTTGTTGAGTATATATATTTGTGCAGATACCCATTCGTGGAAGCGACGGAAATTGGTTTTATGCTGGCCAGGGATCACTTGAGGGGAAACAAGTGCGTATGGTTCTCGAATCACCTCAATTTGACTGTGTGTTTATGCATCTAGCCTCATTTAGCATCTGCAGTGGAGGAGTTGACACACTGCCATTCGGCCCAGATAAACAGGAGAACATCATTGCTGATAGACGATGATGCAAAGAATGTGAGCCGTGCCCTTGACAATGGGGTTAATGCCATTCTATTTTGTCCAGCGGACTCACTTTGCCTAAGGCGGGGTATTTTGGCACTCGTGGACAGGTTAATCTGATGAGTTGGCCGATCCGCACTGAATGCCATCACTCCATCTTCACAAGAAACGCTTACTTTCCTGAGTCGAAATCCAGTGGCCGCTAGAATTCAGACGCAGGAATCTTAACTCCAAGGATACTGCAAGTGCCCCATGCGCGCGGCCACCCCTGTCCGGGGAGCCCAATGCTAAAATGGGAAGAGTCCGGAACATCAAGGCGCTTGGTAGCTCAACTTCGCCCGCGGAAAATTTGACCCGGCCTAGGTGGCACCTCGAACGCGGGAAACTCGACGCGTTCTAGTTTGGGCCCCGCCCGGCCCCCCAGCGCCTGAGTAAAGCCCCCGGCCGCCGACCCAAAATTCTCGGGGGCGTTTCGGGTCCCTTGGGGCAGGGTCGGAACCGGGCTCCCAATGCGCCAAGGGCACCTGGTGTACCTGGCTTGGCCAGAACGGCACGCGGTCCTGGTGGAGGTCTTGTTGCACGTTCTCCAGATCTCCTACGAGTGTAGTCACGGTTGGCTCTATTTATGTTTGTACCGCCTTTGAATATTCTATCCTCATAAGTTGACGGCGCCTGTGGAACAGCACCGTGACCGGGCCTGTAGCCTTACACGAATACTGAGGGATCTCTGACTTGTCTTCAAGAATGGTTGTCTCCTTGAGTATCTCCTTCATTCTGGATTGTAAGGTGTCAAAAGCTGTTCTCCCAAAGAGGATGGCCTGGGTGCCTATGTATACGTAACTGTAACCTCTTCCACCATGTGTTTGTATTTAGGGCTCGGATTCCGCTTTTCCGGTGCCGTTAGTAGATGCGGAACTCGTTGAGCACTTCGCTGATGTACCTCCTCGCTTGCTCGGTTCCTCGTCAGTTGTTGTGGCGCTTGACTGGGCTTGCCCTTCCTCCGTGGACCTTTTGAGACCGCGCGAAGCTATCGAGACGCCGACCGTCACGCGGTGAATAGTATTGCACCCGGCCGCCGGCTATGGACAGCCAGACAAGCCCGTCAGATGATGAACTGGACTACAGACCGCCAAACTTTGACGAAACAGGTGACGACGAAGGCAACATCAAGGTGTAGTACACTGCTGCAGGGTAGCAGTGGAAGCTTTCTTAAGAAGATTTTAAATCTTATATCCACCTTACATAATCCGTGGTCAATGGAGCGCGCCTGGCGCGCCGTGGTTAAGGCAATTCGAAATAGCGACTTACCAGACCACGCGGTATTTGACAAACTGATGTTTGCCATTAAAGCTGTAGCATTGCTTAAGAATCAAGGCCACACGCAGCCTTCGTACGGTGGACGTGAGTTAAAGAAATTGGCGGAGTTCGCTGCGCAGCATGCGCGACCGATGGTCCGTCGAGCGTCGGCCTTGCTTCTTATTTCAGTGTTGTCAGACAATGCTGTAGCGCAGGAGCGCGCTCTGTCGTGGAATGCAGCCCACTGCCATGAGGAGTGGCTTGTGGTGACACCGGTCGACGATTCAATTGTGACTCAGTCTTTGACAAGTCCATTGCCACGGTTCCGATGCGGGCGACCAATCTTGCTCCCTGAAGGAATCAAGGATAGGAACGTTTTGGCAGAGATCAAAGCGGGTCCCGATAGCCTGGCTTCAGTTGTGGGTGTGAGGCTGTGTGGAGAGATGACACAGCTTAAAGGTCCCCGAGGTGCTTTATCTGAAAACCTGCCAAAGAGGGTTGGGGGGGCGTATCGGGAGCTCTGGCGAGGTCCAGGCGCGCTGCAGGAACGTGAAAGTCATGCTTCCCCCCGCACTGTATATTTTGTCGTTACAGCAGTTATTTTGGGAACAGTAACTTGCCAGATTAATGATGGCGAGTGTGCCAATGCATTCCTCTGTCAACGAGCGGGCGCATGTTCTCAAGCGCATTTCCGTGGCAATGCCCAGCCCAGCTCGGCTCATGACCGACCTTTATCTGTACTACGCATTCGTCTTTATGATAGCAGCATGGGCTGCCTTCTTCTAGAAGCATACTTGAGCGAGACCAACGTGAAGAGATTCGTGGAGTCCTCCTTGGGAGACCAGAAGAAGGGCCTCGTGGTTGATGCTAGCTTAGGCGAGTTTTCTGCGCTTGTCGATGAAAATAATGCGCGAACAATTGCAGAACAAAAGATCTGTCTACCTGGCGAAAATCTGACTCAATCAGATGAGACGGTGGTCGCTTGGCGACCTTTGCAAAAAGAGCACAAGCTGAACGATTCAGACGTGACATGGAGGCTTAAAGTTGCGCAAAATAATGAAGTGCGCGAGCTGGCAGCAAGGTGCATACAGCTCCTTACTGCCATCGAGGGCCATACGTACGCAATCAAGCGGGCAGTTATGCTCCAGGTTGTTTCTAATATCAACAAGGTGCTCGTTCAAGTGGTCAATGTAACGCAAGCAAAAGATTCCAGCTTGGCTGATGCCAGATATCGGTCAGCAATCCCAATGAGGGCGCGGCGTCTCTTTGGTCGCTGTCGCGACGGTATTGTTGAGGAACTTAAGCGCGCCACTTTAGCAGGCCTTCTTCAAAAAGAAATCTGTGCTCCAGGGTCGACGCTCGAGACTGTTTGCTTGCCACGTGACTGCCAAATTGAAGTTAGTGAAGATGCCAAGATTGTCTCTCTTGGGCTTGATGAGATGGAGAAGTTTGTTAATTGGCGAGTTGTATGTGTTGGGCGCCGCTCTGTGTGTAACCGGGGGGAATTCATTGCAGCCCAGAAATTCGGATCCACCGGAACCCTGACCCTTGAGTCGCCTGCTCAATTTGCATCAACACGATTAATTGTGTTGGACCATGCCCGGGTTGAGGCGATGAGCCAACTCCTTCGTATTCTTAACCCCTGCGCTCACGGATCTCATCAAGATTCCGGCACTGATTTTATCGCACCGCAGGTCTTCCTCGGTGATGCACCAGATGCAGATCGGGCTATCAAATTACAAGATGAAGACTGTTTGATCAAAGACCGTACTCGCCGGACAGGCAAGCCATCTTGTAAAAAATCGATAGCAGCCTCCTACGTCAGCAACGTTCCTGAAGCGCGACACACTAGCGAAAGGAAGACCGCCTAATGTTTTGCTTCGCGATACACGCAGTCGCGTCAATGCGCAGGGTGCTAGTGTGCGTCTGGACTGTCTCAAGCGCACCATCCACTTGGAGGATCGATCTTACCAAAGACGCAGAAAGCAAAGGAAAGATCGCACAACTCGAGCAGGCTTCGTTGTCAGCACCCGACGCCCGTCCAATGGGTACTGAAGCATGGCTTCTGATGATGTAGAAGGACCGTCTGCCCCAGTCACTCGCACCCAAAGCCCCCCTGTCGGAAGTAGATGGGGAAAAGCATCCTTTGGGGAAGGGGGGTGACACCGGCCTCAAACTCCGCCCAGCAGGCCCGGAGCGTCGCCAAATTATCGCGTGGGTTGATGTGAGCGCCCTGAGCGCGCAAATAGAGCTATGAGGGCCTCCGCCGGCGCGGTCGGGGCGGTCGGGGGCGTCGAAAACCGACACATAAGCGAAACGTGCCCTTTGCATCCTAGACTTCAAGTTCATAATAAATTAGCTGGAGGACCCTCCGCAGAGCCGGAGCCGCGCGTGGTCATGGGGCGCGACGCCTGGAGCCAAGGTGGCGGCGGCGGGCACCTCGCACCTCTCCCGGGCCCCTCCTTTCCTTTGTTAATCGGCGTCTACAGCTGCGCGCGGCCAAATCCCGGCCTTTTCGTCGGTGGGACTGCCACGCAATCCTCGCAGCTGCCCCTGCGAGGACCCCTAGTCAATCTTCCTCAGTAGTCCTGTCAAATATGCGACTGCCAGAGGGCGGACGGTCCATTAATTCAGTTCGTGAGTGCCATGTAGGTGTCATACGCGTGTCAACATTCTGTGATGAGTGGAATCTCGCCTGTTCCAGAACAAGAGTTGGAGCCATAGAAGCTGTCTAAGCTGATTAGGGATTGAAGCTGCTGGATTATATTGTAGGCGTGTGTGCAGGATTACATTCTAGGCTTGTGTGCACGCGACAGCCTCTAAGACAACATTCAGGTGATAGTATTAACAGCTACTGCTCAGTCATATTTGTGCACTTCGGAATTTATTATATGCGCTCCTATTTTCGCAGAAGCATCAGAATAGAGCAATTCTCATAGAACGCACATATTCCTACGGAGGATGTCTTCGATGGAACCGAGGATGCGGTTGAACGTACTTCGATCCAATGAAAGCAACCTGAGCAGACAATATACAACGCATTTTGTGTCCCCCAAATATGAGGACATGGGCTGTTTGCTTTAGCGTACCATGATCTTCTCCCGCGACGACTGTCGCCTGGCGAGGTTTACTGGTAAGCAGTGCGATTTCACCGAAGTAATCACCAACCTACAAGGTTGCGCATTTCGGCTTCGTGCAAAAGCACAAATTGAGTCGGAGAAGTTTGCAGTGAGATGCGCGACCTCTTGTTGTTTACCCTGAGCATCCGCTTGGGTGCAAACCACCGAACCTTGCTTTATTATATAGAAGTTTGAACCTACCGATGGCTTTTCTTAAATCAGCGGGAAAAAAATTCCTACCAGCATCGCCCTGACGACAGATAACATCCCCCTCTTCATACAACATCTCTTGCATCGCATCTGCCATCGTAAAGAGTTCATATTCCTTGAGCTGCTTCAAAATCTCGACCTGAGAATATGATCTACTAATCGACATATATCTGCAGTGCAACTGCGCTTGCTTGCATTCTGCAGAAAGTTCTTAGTCTGGGAGCGCCGCTCGATAGTTGTCTTCATGAGTATCACTTTGAAAGCCTGTGGGCGTTCTCCTATTCAGCGCCGGGTACACACGATGGACCTTGCGATCGAGAGCATAGAGTCTGCAATCAGCTATGGCTCGACAGGTAGCAGCCCGGGGCGCGTTATACATGATGGCTAATTCACCGAAAGCACCGCCTGGGCTATATGTATGAACAAGTGCCTCATCATCGGGAGAATCCGAGTACTTGTAGCACTCCACATTCCCACGATCAATCACATAAAAGTTGTCACCATCATCACCCTGCGATATGATGGTGTCCCCACTCTTGAACTCCATCACAAACATGGCCCGCGCCACAAATTCCTTTTGCTCCTTTTCCAAGTGTCGGAAAAGAACTTGTTGTCTGAAACATGCCATGTCTTATCGATGCAGCAAGAATCCCAATAATCGGACACTGAATGCACTCTAGTATTTCGAGGATGCGCATCCTCTCCTCTGGAGTTTTGTCGAACTCCTTTATGTCATCTTGATTCTCCATGACGACCTCTGCGCAAACAGACTCACGCTTACGGTCTCTGTTGTATGCTGAATTTTTTGTTAGGGTAGGAATTTCATCTATGTAATCATCGTCATTGTCATCATCGTCATCAACGTCACTGGCGATGTCGGGTGCTCCGTCGACCGCTGCTTGCTCTCGATCATGCTGCGATGCGCCTGTAGCCAGAGAGACCCCTGCCTGATCTGGGTACCTAAACGCTGATATAAAGCTATTGCGTGCTTCCGACACGCCAGTTATACTTCTTCTGTAGGAATTCTACGATGAACCCGATTGGGTTGTCTGGCTTTTCTATCAGCAACGACTCAACTATGAAGGCGTCGATTGGCGCACTGATCCAGATGAGAGAAAATAGTACCAATCTGGATGAAGAGTTGATTAATGGATTTAGATTGTAGATAGTCATTCAACTCGGCTTGGTGCTGTCAATGCATCTCTCTATAAAGAATGGTTCTGATGAGGTACCTGCGCCGCGGATTCCGCCGTGAAGTTACCATCGGCCATGGTCGGTTTCAACAAATTAGGATGCGTCGGCTAGAAAGTAGCTTTCTAGTCAAGCAAGATAATAATTTGGCATAAAGTGTAAGTTGAGCGAGCCTCGAGGCCCACCCCACTACCCTAGTTTACTAGCTAAACTCCCTCTCTCTCAAATAGGTTCGGCTGGCCACAGGGAGGGGAAATTCCGCCGGTGGGCTCTCGAGGATTATTTTCTGACTGTCCTTCACTCGCAGGGGCCGCTGCCAGTGCGGCCGGGGACTCAGGCTTTTCGAACTAATCCTTACAAAACTTGGCTAGGTATCCGAGCGGTCCTGGCATATCTTGGCCGAGCGCAGCCCTGAAATTGCACCGGGAATCACGTTTGCCATCGCTGCGCATGAACCCAGTGCCGGGCACGAGCCCGTTGATCACACTCAAGGGGGAAGATGGCGGCTGTGGAATAGAAAGAGGGAAAGAGAAGGAAATTGGGGAAAGGAGAAAGAACCCCCATACTAAAGTGGGGACCTTGGGACTGAACTCAGGCTCATGAGGATATGAGACTGCAATGATGGGAAGAAAGGGAAAATAAGGACAGTAGGGCAGATACAGGAGAATCTTCCTCCTGGGATTCTTTCTCCCCGTGGCCAGCCGAACCTACTTTAGAGAGAGGGAGTTTAGTTAGTAAACTAGGGCAGTGGGGTGGGCCTTGGGGCTCACTCTACCTACCCTTTATGCCAATTATTATCTTGATTGACTAGGAAGCTATTTATTGTGCAACGAATCTTTGCTTTGGCACGATAGCAATAATACCGTGATGTCGCTTACTCCGCGATCAGATCTCTCAGTGGGTACCAGAGTACAGGCACAAACTGCGGTGATTCCCTTAGCTAGGAAGAAGGGCGTGACTTCTGCACATGTTGTGGGTAAGAAACTGACCACCTTGATAGATCAAAACCCGAATGAGTTCTGGGAAGCAGCTCAGCACGAATTCGGCGTTGCATTGCAAAGTATGTCACTTGATTTGATGGATTCTTTAGATGCACGACTTGATTCTCTTGGTAGAAAGGTAACAAGGCTAGAGATCACTACAAAGGAAATTGTTGCCATCCGAGATGCACGCGCATACGCGCGAGAGACTGAGTCTACATTCACCGCAGAACAGGAAAGGGCTGAAAAGTCACTTCTAGCCCAGTGGCTTCGCAGCTTTGTGCATCGACTCCCGAAGGTTCGCCGAAAACCCGCCCTTGAACATGCAATAGAAATTGGTCTTGGCCTTGATGCAGTTGACTTTGCTTTTTGTCGGTACGCCTTGAATATTGCTATTTGTTCCTCTCACGTGTCCCAACAAAAAATTATTTCATCAAGAATTCCAAACGTCCTCGTGGGCATGGTAGATGGTGCTAATGCATCCATGGTGCGTCACCAGGGTTTTGATATTCATCTAGCTCCTGGGTATGTGTGGCAATCTAGATGCATGCAAAGGCAGCTAGAAACGAAATCCACGAAGGCGAAACTTCTTGTTCGTGGCTCGTTCTTTCTCCAGTGTGCCATTCCGCTTCGAGAGAACCAGAGACATTAGTATTTGATTTAGGCTATTTCAGACGCTTCAGCGTTAGTTGTTGGGCCGTCTCTAATGGCTTTAGCCCACATCGCTCGTGCAGATGGCCCCGCGCGTGAGGCAATCGCCGAGGCAAATAGACGGCGTTTCATCATTTCTATGGCACTCCTTCCGACTTGGCAGGGAAATCTTTAGGCAAACGGGATCGTGGTTGTCATAAGCTGTATGACATTAGCCCGGCAGCCAGCTGTGCTCACACAGGCGTGTCGTGCGCTTGGCGCGTTAGCATTGCTACCGCAGAATAGGACACGTATCGCCGCCGCGGGAGGTATTGGAGCCCTGGTGAAGCTCCTGGCTGCGGCACGACCACCTCCATTGGCGTCCGGGGCTGATGCTTTTACAGATAATTCCAATAGTGAAAGGAGGGAGGACCTCAGGGTAACTGAAACCGTCCAAGAGACTGCATTGGCTGCACTAACAAATCTCACGCGATCTTGTCTGTGCCCTTCTATTTCACACATTTACTCAAGCCAAAAAAACCTAGGAAATCATCAGAAGCAAATCGACAACTTGTCGCAGAACTTGGAGGTGTTGTGCCTATGGTTTCATGCGCACTTTTCGCACGTGATGGTGGACCTGTTCGAAATGCAGCTCAAGCACTAGCAAACGTCGCATTCGGTTCCCACTTCGCCGTCGCAAAATGTCTCATGGCGCGTGCTGACGCTGCCTTGTGCGCTGCTATTAGTGCCACAGATCTGCTGAGTGAGAACAGCTTGCTTGAGGCTGCGTCAGCAGACAGCGTCTGGTATCGCGCATATTATTTGATTCCTGCAAGCA